ACCATTTTGGATATTTCCATAAATTGAGGAAAAGATTACCAATAGAGGAAGGCATTCATTTGCATGCTTTCGAAGAACAGAGAAGCCACCATGAGTGCTTGTATCCGAAGCTGTCAATATCTTACAGAAAGAGTGAACTGTTTGTTTAGGGGCTTCTGGTTGGGGTGGATCAAGACTAGTCGGCTCAGTTTGCTACAAGAATGAACAAAAATAAATAAATAAATAAAGAAAAATAAAAAAAGTAGCTAACTCCAATTAAGTTTTAGTTGCATCTTGCATTAGTATGTCAAATAACTGAAGTTGTGAGTTTGAGCCTTAAATATAAAATACTTATATACATCTTACATCTGGTTCTGGGTGTAAAGTGATCTGGGCATAAACCTCATCTGTTTCTTGCTCAGCCTTTTAATTAAGAAACCAAAAACAAAAGAAAAAATAAGAATTTAATCAGAATTTTTAATAAGTATGCAAAAACATAAAACAGAAAGGAGAAATGAAGAATAAAAATCTTTAGAAATGATACCAATAGCTGAATGTGAACAACACGACAAAGGATTTTCGAAGGCAGATTGAATTGGGGGATTTGCAGATGCAATTCCTGATTTGTTGAAGCCTCCAGCTGCAAAACAATTAAGNCTCTTGCAGGGAACATCAACCAAAGGCCCTGCACATGCCTTCCAAAGCTCTGTGTACAAATCACCACTTCTCACACCTACCAACATCAACAAATTGAAAGGGGAACAAAATAAATTTGGTAAAAACAATGATGGGTCCAATCCAAGAATTATCAATGGCTTAAAAAGTGAAGGGGGCTGAAAGCAGAAAATCCATAATGAGCAAAACACACAGTTCCTTTTCAATTTAGTAAGTGCCACTGTTTGATTATTTTTGCATTACTTTATCAGCTAAAAGGAAAATTAATCAAGTTGCCAGGGTATGTAACAATTTTTTACAGGGAAAAAAAAAAGTTATTACAAATAAAAAATTTTCTTCTTCTACATTCTGGTTATGCTAATTCTTAGACTTGAATGCAAGAGCTCTGCATGAATATAGAAATAACTAAAATGAAAGGGGAAAAAAAAATTACTGCAGCCAAAAAGCTTAATATTGAAGAACATGCTTTAACAATTTCACACAAACAGAAGTATAATGAACAGTATGAAAGAAATTTATAAGCAGAGAAAGCAATTAGGAGGCAGACATGACTAGACAGTACATAAAAATCCCAACTTTTGAGTAAAAAGGCATGAAGGCACAACCCTTCAAGTTTTTTTAAGAGATCTAACTCTAAAACAATTAAAAAAAATTCTTAAATACATGAAGAAAAACTATCTCTGTCCTTTTTTTTTCTTCTAAAAGATTCTCACCTGTTTCGTGAGAACCTCCCCTCAACAACCCATCAGCATCCGCCATTAAGGAACCACCAAAGCTAACAGAAGGAAATAGCGATGCCAGACGCGAAATGGAAAAAGAGAAAAAAGTATGTCCTTTTCTTATTTTTCAACTGGTTTAGAAACCAAGAAACATATCAAAAGCTCGAGACTTGAAAAAGTAAGAAGATAAGAAGAAATAAAAGAAGAAAAACAAAACTTTCACGCGCACTTCAACCTACCGCGCGTTTAAATTCATCATCAATAATCAAGACAAAACCCACCTGCTGTTATCCATATTCCTTGATAAAAAAAAATTAATCAACCATTTTTTGGTGTTTTCTCTCTAATTCCTCTCTCACTCGATATAAATGTGAGTGTATAGGTTTGTCCAACAGCTTTTGGAAGGGTGTAACAAATGCTGGTGTTTTTTGTGTGTAATGGGATTCAAGAAATTCAGCTCATATCTTTTTTCTCTCACTTTTCAGTTACAAAACAGCTATTTGCTTTTGTCTCTTCACTGCCCAAAACCACCAGTCCACCCCTTTTTTCCTATTTTCTTTTTCATTGAGAAAAATCCTCTCTTTTTTTGTTTCTCCTTTTAGTCTTTTACCTTTCTCTCTCTCACACACACACACACACACGAAACACCACCTGAATCAAACGTTACCAAATCCCAAGAACCCTCCTTTCTCACTCTCCTTCATGATACATGTTTTACAGCTATGTTCCTTTCTTCTCTCCCTTTCTTTTTGGCTGCAATTTTTATGTAAAACATTTCTTGCCTATTATTAAAACATGTTTCCTACACCTTATGTCAGAACAGCCATTGCTCGAATTAATTTTTAACCCCACTTGATTAGTGGATGATTAATCATGGTCAAATGGAACCACTTTAGAAATTAGTGTGACAAGACCATGGTTAACGGGTATATCCATTGATTTATTGTTTACTTAAATAATATTAAATGTTCATACTGTAAAATATAACATTGCTTTATATTTTATATTTTAAAACATATGGCATCTTATATAAATCAAAAAGATTACTTTTTATAAAGACTTATTGGTTAGACAGACATGTTTATAATGTACATAAATATTTCCTAACTGAAAAATCACTCATTTCACAACATAATTATACTACTTTTGTTACAAAGAATGTGCTTATATTATAAAATATCGTAGTTTTATTTATATTGTTTTTAGATAAAGAGAGACATATATATGAAAAAAAAAGTATAATCAATTCACTACCTTATTTTTTTTCATTTCTTGTTTGGTTTGTTCAGAACCATATTTGTATGTAACTTATTAACTTAAGCTTGTTGCTTCTTGATGTTTTCAACTGAAGAATACTATAATAAGTTGCATTAGTTCATCAAGTCTCTTTCACAAAGTAGCATTTTTCACTATATAAGCAATTTTGAACTCTTATAAATAATTAAGATCAAGTATTTATGTACTTCATGACCACTACATGCTCAGTGGCTATTAATATATCATACATTTTTCTGTTTCTATGTGTATTTTACTTAATTGTAATAATGACTATGCGTATACTTGTAACTTAATTAGGAAGGATTAAGATGGTCAAAGACGAAAAATAAAAATAAAAATTCCACTTGTGCAGATTCTAACAAACATGTGACTGCCAATTTTGTTTTATTATTAGGAAAAATAAATGTACCAGTTTTGTTTGTGTGTAGGCAGCAAAAGCCAAGAAAGAATAAACTACTCGGATGTATGCAAACGCGGAATTAATAATAAATAGTCTCTCCACAAGTCGAAAGACCACTATTTGGATTTTTCTACTAAGATAGTTGAATTGCTTAAAACAATACAGTTAACTTGCTTGTGATCCGTGTTTTTCAATGAAAGTCACTAGTAAAACGAATTCTAGACATATGTAATTAATATGTAATTAAAGTAAATTGAAATTAAACCATTATGGCATGATTGGTATAATTGTACGAAATTTGATAGGAATAGAATAAGTTGAAGAATGGAATGAATATGGGGAAAAAAATGAAACAAGTTTTTCCACTGATGCGTTTGATATGCAGTAAGAATAAGACTGAATTAGAATAACATTACCATTCTATATTATCATTTATCTTATTTTATGAAAAAAAAATTAATATTTATATTAATGTTATTTTTTTGTTTATGATAATAATAAAATTATTATATTTCTTAAAAAAAATATATACTATATTTTAATAAATTAGTGAATCGTGTATTCATATATATATATATATATATACAAAGGTTTGATTATTTTTTAAATAGTAACTATTTTCCTACAAAAAAATCTATTTACTATTTTGGGAAATTAATTTAACAATTTATGGTATATATCAAATGATCACTTATAGAAATTGTGGCTCATTATTTAAGGAAGTAATTAAAGCATATATTAAGATATCATAATTGTTCAAACCATGTGAATTAATTAATATATGGTATACAATGGACGAAATTATTTTTGGTAGTGATGGTTGTTTCTATAGGAGATAAATTAATCAATATATAGTATAAATTGAGCAAATTTATTTATGTTATTTGATGACTGTTTTTTGGTAAGAAATTTGTTAAAAACTTAATCAATATACAGTGTACATTTTTCTGTAATGCGCAGACCAAAATATTGATTTTTAGACGTGAGTTTCAATTTTTCGTATAGAATTAACATAATAAAATTACCGTAACTCTGACAAAATATTATGAACTGATATTTTGATATTAATGTGTGTGTATCGCTGTTTTTTTTTTTTATAGAAAAAGTTATGGTCAATTTTTCTTTTGTATAATTAGTGAGTTTCGATTTAATTCATTTTCTGTTACGACATTTCAAATAATTTTTATGTGAAATGCACTGTTCATTTTTTTTAGCATGATGAGGACTGTCAATTTTTTGGCATAAAAAATCTTATGACTGATTGTTTTTAATCAACTACTTAAATATTTCGATTTGGATATTTTGTACAAAAATAAATTCATTTTAATTACTGAAATAATATAAGTTTTATATTTATTCTTATTATTCACATAGGTTTTAAAATATATGATAAAATTTACCAAAACAATTATTTTATAAAATCACGTTATAGTAAAATTGAATTTCTGAATAAAAAGTTTGAAATGACACATATTTTGAAACGAATATAATGTAATTTATTATCAGTTATGTGCAATGCGCGAGTTGTGTACTAATTTTAAATAGACATTTTTATGTAATTTTGCACAATTTTTAAATTGTATATAATATCTTTTTTTTTTACGGAACGATAGAGATATTATATAAAACACACAAATGTGCAAAGAGAAGTCACCAACTGATTACAAGCAGCCAACAGCTGAATACAAGCAGCCAATAGCTGAAAAAGTGGAAGGACAGGTCAAAAGACCGTCTAGAACCGACCCCAACGGGGTAATACTCAACAACACTAAAAAAAACAAAAAAAAAAAACAACAACACAAAGACCCCCACAGGGTAATACTCGAGTGTCGGACCCCCACAGAGTAATAAAGTGACACTCGGGCGCACAGAGACTAACGGCCCAAACCTAAAACCCAACGACAAACACAAACACAGATACGAACACACTAAACAAGAACAACAAACCAATATACTATAAAACAAAAGAAGGAAAAACACAGCTAAATAAAAAGGCCCTTCCACAGCAAGTCAGTCAGCTCGAACCAGCGGAGAACGGTCAATATCAAAGGATAATCCAAATCTAGGGGACGGCTCCGGAAACTACCACAAGGCCTACACAAGAAGTCGAGCCCGAACACAAACCAAACTCCAAAATGACCTGCCTCAACCAGAAGGACAACCGAACACGCACCCACTCTAGCACCTCCCGAGTAGAGATGTTAAACGGGCTAGCCCTAGCAGTTTCGGGCTAGCCCTAGCGGGCTTCGGGCTAAACGGGCTATAATAATAATAATAATAATAATAATAATAATAATAATAATAATAATAATAATAATAATAATAATAACAATTATAAATTACAACACATAGTTAACGGTTTTTTTCAACGGCTATTTAGTATTTACCACTATATATATACAACTACACTTCATATATGAACACACATTACAAACTCTTAAATAACATATTGTTTCTCAATAGAAAAATTAAATATTCGAATTATTATTTATAACTACTATTTGACTAGTTATTTCGTATGCTTCGGGAATTTTCACAATATAGCATACTGTTGAATTTATATTCTATCATTATATTCTATGTGTTAGGTCTTTGTCTCATTTGTTTTTTATTCGCCGTTCTGATTGGCTTAAATATTTTGTGTGAAATAGAATAAAATTTGTTAATAATTATCTATCAAAATAATAATAATACATTATAACTCATAATTATATGTAAAGTAAAATAGTAAAATTGTAATATACAAGGAATCATGAGACATATTCCTTACCTTTCTAAAAACATATACACCACCCAACCCAAGTTAAACGGGCAAGCCCTAGCGATTTTCGGGATAGCCCTAGCGGGCTTCGGGCTAAACGGTCCGGGCCTAAAAAGCCTGGATTTAAACGGGCTGTCAATAAAAGGCCCTAATCCTGTTTTTTTCCGGGCTAAACGGGCCGGCCCGTCGGGCCAAGGTCCATTTAACATCTCTACTCTCGAGCACACCTAGCACCACTAGCCGAACGTCGGAGCACCAGATTCCCGCCGTCTAACACCACTAGATGAAACAGGCGTGCGGCTCAGGCCCTCAGTTCCGACACCCCGTCGGAGCCCCGCCCCTCCTCTCGACCCACAACCAGTCAAAGCACCACAGACCACAGGCACCAATATAGGAAAACCCCAAACGGAGACCCATCGGAAAACGGAACCGCCCGATAGGCCCTTCATTTGCGCAAAGGTACAGAAATAGGAACAGAAGAAGGAAATGGAGGAATACTCACCTCCAATCGCGACCAGCGGGCAACTAACTCCATAAATTGCGAACCAATCGACGACCAAAGAGCTCGCAGCCTCCAATCGCAACTTCGCCGGCAAAAAAG